TATTCTCCAAAGCACCTGAGGGTAGGACAAGAATTAATGGGTGGAAACCAGTGGTGAAATTCAAAAATTTTAACTACCAGTTCTGTGGGCGTGGCGTGGTGGGTGTGGCAGGGGGACAATATTGCAAAATCAGAAATTCCCACCCCACAAAATTTCCGTGACAGTTAGAACAATTAACCAATGGAACAACTTGCCTCCAGAAGTTGTGAATGCTCCAACACTGGAGGTTTTTAAGAAGAGATTGGAGAACCATTTGTCTGAAATGGTGTAGGGTTTCCTGCCTAAGCAGGGGGTTGGACTAGAAGACCTTCAAGGTCCCTTCCAACTCTGTTATTCTATTCTATATTCTATGTGCTGTGTTATAACACAGTGTATGAAGGAGCTTCACATGCCCCTATTTTATTTCTCAGGTACTTTGAATCTTGCTAGAGCTCCAGCAGTCCAATAACAGTGATTTCATAGTGGCGACTTTTGGATAAAGGAAACCATTGACATGACCTCTGCTGTCTTTTAATGCCACTGTGAGGGAGAGAGTGTATAAAGTTTCAATCTGGCACAATGACACCAAGAGTCATTGTAGCTCCATCAGCTCTGTAATCCAGGCTTGGCACCTCCATCTAAACAGTACTTTTTTCAAATGCATACTGAGCTCCATTTAGACCGCCTATTCCTGTCTGTCTACCACCTACTTCTTGCCTCCAGGGTATCACGTTTAGCATTTGCATGCAGAAAATGTTTTGTTTGCTCCCTGGTAGCTTTACTTAAAATATTTCCAGAAACTAGACTGTAAAAGCACTGTGCTCATCTAGGAAAGAAGTGACGAAATAGGAAAAAACAAATGACATACTCTTTCGCACTGAGTCTTCTGTTTTTTGCCCAAGTTAGGAAGATGCGTACTGAGTTTAAAGTATATAGATCTCCTTAGAGGAGAAATGCTGCATTTTTAAGAGATTGTGGCAAAAGCCACATCATTTAGCTTCTGAGAAACTCCGCTTTTAGAGAACAAAAAAACACATTTATTTCCCCCATGGTAAATATAGGGTATTTGTGGCGGGGCCTGAAAAAAACCAATCTGTCTGCTTATCTGAAACTGCTCCGGGTTGCACAAGACCCAGAAAATGCTTTTGTGTGGTCTTGCAGCCTCCAAAAGGAGTAGGAAAGCAAGCTTAATTTTGCACGTTTTTTAGGGGGCCTTCTTGCATGACTTCCAGTTTGGCATGTCGTTGCAAATGACATGGCATGTCAGAGGGTTGTCATAGTTGGATTAGGAAGACTGGAGTAGTTTAAGACCAATAAACTAACTCATGGAGATCGACATTTTTCTATAAACTGTAAGATTATCTTGTTTTGCAGTACAGTATTATAGTCGCCTTAACTGAGTATTATGGCCTTTTTATTCCTTACTTTGATTGTGGCATGTAACATGTTTTTCTATCCCATTCTTGGTGTGAGATTCTAGACAGCCACTGCCAATCACAGATAGAGGAAATGAGGCATTACATGCGGCTTTACACCAGGGGTGTCAAACTCAATTTGATTGAGGGCCGCATCAGGATTGTGTTTGACCTTGGGGGTGGCGCACCTAGAGGAGTGGCAGCCAGCTCAATGTCACTTGTGTCTGTGGGTGGCCTGAATACTCTGCCAGTGAAAATGGGCTCCCGAGCTCCATTTTCGGCTGCGACGGCCTCCTGCAATCCTCTGCCAGCAAAAACAGAGCCAGTCGTTTGCTGTTTCCAGGGCGGCCTTGCAGGCCAGATCTGAGCACCCCGTGGACCGGATCCTTGAATTTGACACCCCTGCTCTACAGCATTTAGTAAGACAAAAACCTCTTCCTGATGCAAATGCCAGCTTCAGGGAAGGATTTTTTCCCCTCAGTGGTCTATCAGAGAGGAATGGGAGAGAAATGACCCAAATAATTATCTGCCCCGTCAGTTGCTGTTTTTGTGTTGCAAAAATAAAAACCAATCATCCAAATACAAAAGTGAATGAAAGTTTGACCCTCAAAATGGAAAATATTGGATGAGATGAGCAAAAATTATATGCTGGCTTTCTCCATTCTGGTGTTTCAGACAAATCTTTGCCTGCAGGCTGATATTATTTTAACAGAATATTTTAGTCTGAATAATTACATTAGTATTTATTAGCCCCATGTTGCAGATGGAGATATGAGGCTTAGGGGCAGAAGTAAGACAATATTCTGACTTCATAATAGAAGTGACACATGAACCAGGAAATTTACTAATTTATAAACAATTCCTGGGCTGATAAATTAAATGCAAATGTCTGG